GCTGCGCTGCACTGATGGGCACTGCTGGGTGGCACAGGTGGGTGGCACTGATGGGCACAGGTGGGTGGCACTGGTGGTTGGCACATTGGGCGGCACTGACTAGTGGCACTGCTGGGTGGCACTGACTGGTGGCACTGCTGGGCTGCACTGATGCCCACTTGCTGGTGGCACTGATGGGTGGCACTGGTGGGTGGCACTGCTAGGCACAGGTGGGTGGCACTACTGGGCAAAGGTGGGCAGCACTGCTGGACACTTGTGGGCGGAACTGGTGGGTGGCACTGATCATCAGGGCACTGATGATCAGTGCGCTGATGATCGGTGCTGATCCCTGCTCTAACAACTGTCGGTTCTCTGCACTACCTTCCTCACGCGCTGACAGCATTAGGAAAGTGCAGCCAAGAACCAGCAATTGCAATTCCCAGTGCTCAGCGTGTCATTGGACATGGCTGATCACATGGTAAAAATGCCACTGTGTTTGGCCTTGTACCACATCACGTGATCAGTTGTGTCCGTATTACACAGCGATCATGGAGATCGCCGGGTGCGCGCCCCCGGGGGCACGCAGGAGAGCGCGTTCTGGGAGGACGTCATATGATGGCCTCCCAGAACTGGCCGCGCGCAGTGCAGCCGTCATTTGGCTACGCGGTCGGCAATTAGTTAACAACCGATAATTGCCGGCCTTTCTGGTAATTGCCTGACATTTCTGCTGTCAGTGGGGGAATCCCTTATCCAAGGTTTCTGGTATAAATTTTGTAGGGGACCCCACAATTTTCTTTTGCATTTATTTTTGTCGATTTTGCTGTAGGATGTACTACAGAAAAAGTGAACATTTATAAAGAAAAAAAAAAAAAACGAGCTGGCAGTGGAATGTCATTTACTGGCAATTTAAATGACTTTTCCCCATTTTATTTGTAAATTGTCAGAATTGATTTTCAAATGTATATGTTTTTTATATTGACTTCAGTTGGGTTTAGATTAACACTTGTGGCAAACGTCCAACAAACCACACACATTCGGCTCATCCCTACTCTGGGAAAATCCTGGAAGGAGCATGGGAGGAGGTGATGAGTGAGAACAAGAGGTCTTCGGAGGAGTGGAGAGGGTGGTTCGGGTGATATTTTGAGACAAGGCTGGTGAGGCCTCATTCACACGGGTGTACTGATCCACACCCCAAAATGAAGGGGCTGTCTTAACCTGTGCAGGAAGCTCTGGTGCCCAATGCAGACCCAGGCAAGTAACCTGTAGACATGTTCAATTTGTTTTGTTACAAATCGAAAGTTGGACAAAATTTTTGCTATTCAGAGATGTATCTGAATTTTTTAAAAACAATAGTAATGCATTTCAATGAATCCAAAATAAATTTTAAGGAAACAAATTATCTGAATTCAAATTTGAAAATAATTTTGAAAATGAATTTGAAATAGAAACATATTGCAATAAACACAGTAATGTATACAAGTGGAATAAAATGAGGATTCCTACTTAGGCTGTGTTTATATATTATCTGAATTCAAATTTTAAAATAATTTTGAATTTGAAAATTAATTTGAATTTGAAATAGAAACATATTGCAATAAACACAATAAGGCATAAAAGTGGAATAAAATGAGGATTCCTACTTAGGCTGCTTTTATATTATCTGAATTCAAATTTGAAAATAATTTTGAATTAAAACATTAACCACTTACCGTATATACTCGAGTATAAGCCGAGTTTTTCAGCACATTTTTTGTGCTGAAAAACGCCCCCCTCGGCTTATACTCGAGTCAACATCTGCAGGGGGCTGCTGTCTCTTACCTGGCTCCGGTCCCACGACTATCCGGTCCAGAAAGTGCGGCTGCTCCTTCATTCGGTTCGTCCACTGGATGTTCGCGCGGCTGCTCGGCTCCGCCTTCTCACCGGTGATTGGCCGCCAGAACTGTAGCTCAGGAAAGGCACACAGTCGGCCAATCACCAGCGAGGAGGCGGAGCTGAGCGGCCCCGCGAAAATCGAGTGAAGGAGATGCAGGTAAGTATGCCGTGCTTAGGTGCTGCTGCAACCACATATGCTGGCTGCAGCAGCACCATACTGGAACAGGGGTCAGCAAGTGTCAGTGGGAGGAATAGTGCCCCATCATTGGTGTCACTGATACCAATGATGGGGCATTATTCCTCCCACTGACACCAACGATGGGGCACTTTTCCTCCCCCCCACTGACACCAACGATTGGGCACTATTCCTCCCCCCCCCCACCACTGACACCAATGATGGGGCACTATTCCACCCCCCACTGACACCAATCATGGAGCACTATTCCACCCCCCACTGACACCAATCATGGGATACTATTCCTCCCCCCCACTGACACCAACGATGGGGCACTTTTCCTCCCCCCACTGACACCAACGATGGGGCACTATTCCTCCAGCCCCCCACTGACACCAATGATGGGATACTATTCCTCCCACTGACACCAATGTTGCGACACTATTCCTCCCACTGACACCAATGATGGGACACTATTCCTCCCACTGACACCAAAGATGGGGCACTATTCCACTGACACCAATAATAGGGTGCTATTCCCCCCACTGATACTAATGATGGGGCACTATTCCTGCCACTGATACCAATGATGGGGCACTATTCCTCCCACTGACACCAATGATGGGGCTCTATTCCTCCCACTGACACCAATGATGGGGCACTATTCCTCCCACTGATACCAATGATGGGGCACTATTCCTCCCACTGATACCAATGATGGGGCACTATTCCTCCCACTGATACCAATGATGGGGCACTATTCCTCCCACTGACACCAATGATGGGGCACTATTCCTCCCACTGATACCAATGATGGGGCACTATTCCTCCCACTGATACCAATGATGGGGCACTATTCCTCCCACTGATACCAATGATGGGGCACTATTCCTCCCACTGACACCAATGATGGGGCACTACTCCTCCCACTGACACCAATGATGAAGCACGATTCTTCCCACTGGTGTTCCCACCCTCGGCTTATACTCGAGTCAATAGTTTTTCCCAGTTTTTTGTGGTAAAATTAGGTACCTCAGCTTATATTCGGGTCGGCTTATACTCGAGTATATACGGTACCCTCCAGAGGATTTACCCCCCTTTCCTGACCAGGCCATTTTTGCGATATGGCCCTGCGTTATTTTAACTGACAGTTGCGCAGTCGTGTAACGCTGCACCCAAATTAAATTTATGTCTTTTTTCCCACAAATAGTGCTCTCTGTTTGTGGCATTTGATCGCTTTCGCAGTTTTTATTTTTTGCGCTATGAACAAAAAAAGACAGACAATTTAAAAAAAAAAAAAAAAAAACCTATATTTTTGACTTTTTGCCATTAAACATGTCCATTAAAAAAATGTTAAAAATCAAATTTCATCATAAAGTTAGGCAAAAATGTCTTTGCCAAAAAATGAAAAATACCAATACGTGTAGATGAATTGGTTTACGTGAAAGTTATAGCGTTTACAAATGGCGGTATAGATACTGGAATCAGCAGCCGGGACCCCGTAATTGACAGCTGAAGCCGCCAATGGCAGCGTGCTCATGTGCCCCCTACCTGGAGATGCAAAACCATGTATATATACAGGATTTTGTGCAGCCCAGCCGCCCTGTAGCAGTATTTCTGCTATAGGGCGGCAGACAAGCAGTTAATAGCTCCTTTCTAAGAAATAATGATGACAAATTCTGACACCAGTGGAATTTATCAGCTTCCAAGCAGGTGCAAGTTTGTTTGTTTTTCTCATTGTCACACTAGTAAAGTTTGGTGCAGTCCATAACTTGTCATTTATTGCATTCTTTTCACAGCCAAGTGTTGCACAATGATGAATATTGATCCACTGCTCCTGACATACCCTGCACCCACAGCCACGTAAGAATATATAGTATTAAATATTTCCATGCCACAGCCATGTGCCGTATAAAATCTTTATTTGCAAACGATGACTCAACTAAAGTCCAAAGGGTTGCAAAGGGTACGGACTGAGCTGCCAACGGAAAAGTTCGGTCAGTAACAAAACCTAATTTCAAGGCCAACACAGACTTGGTATAATCTCTTCCAATAATTAAATCGATTGGATTTCGGGCCGATTCGCACCAGTGCATTTTAGCGCAGCTGTGCAACGCAGATCAATGGAAGGACATCTGAAAAACAATAGTTTTCAATGTGCCCTAGTCACACCACAATGTTGCTTTGCATTGCGCTAAAATGCAAAATGTATGTCAACGGACATCAGCGGGCAATAAAATGCGAGCAAAATGGATGGAAATGTACATTATTATATTATTATTATACAGGATTTATATAGCGCCAACAATGCAGAAGAGCTGAAGGCCGCTATTGAAGCATCCTGGTCTTCCATAACACCTCAGCAGTGCCACAGGCTGATAGCTTCCATGCCACGCCGCATTGAGGCAGTAATCGCTGCAAAAGGGGCCCAAACCAAGTACTGAGTACATATGCATGCTTATACTTTTCAGAGGTCCGATATTGTTCTATGTACAATCCTTGTTTTATCGATTGCATGTAATATTCAAATTTTCTGAGATTGTGGATTTTTATTATTATTATTATTATTATTATACAGGATTTATATTATTAATATTATTATACATGATTTATATTATTATATTATTATACAGGATTTATATAGCGCCAACAGTTTGCTCAGCGCTTTACAATATAATGGGAGACAATACAGCAACAATACAGTTCAATACAAGAGGGTTAGGAGGGCCCTGATCCTGGGAGCTTACAATCTAGGAGGGAGGGGCTAGTGGTACAAATGGTAGTAACTGTGGGGGATGGACTGGTAGGAATAGTAGAAGATTCCATTATTAGCTGAGGGCAGGATAGGCTTCCCTGAAGAGATAGGTTTTCAGAGATCGCCTAAAAGTGAGCAGAGTAGGCGATAGTCTGATAAATTGGGGTAGAGAGTTCCAGAAGATGGGGGAAGCTCTGGAGAAGTCCTGGAGATGAGCATGGGAGGAGGAGACAATGGAGCTAGAGAGCAGGAGGTTGTGGGAGGAGCGGAGAGGATGGTTTGGGTGGTATTTGGAGACAAGTATGGGGATGTAATTTGGGGCAGAGTTATAAATGGCTTTATATGTTATTGTTAATGTTTTGAATTGTATCCATTGGGCAATGGGAAGCCAGTGGAGGGATTGGCAGAGAGGGGTGGAGGACACTGAGTGGAAGCCAGTGGAGGGATTGGCAGAGAGGGGTGAAGGACACCGTTTGGAAGCCAGTGGAGGGATTGGCAGAGAGGGGTGGAGGGCACTGAGTGGAAGCCAGTGGAGGGATTGGCAGAGAGGGGTGGAGGACACTGAGTGGAAGCCAGTGGAGGGATTGGCAGAGAGGGGTGGAGGACACTGAGTGGAAGCCAGTGGAGGGATTGGCAGAGAGGGGTGAAGGACACTGTTTGGAAGCCAGTGGAGGGATTGGCAGAGAGGGGTGGCGGACACTGAGTGGAAGCCAGAGGAGGGATGAGCAGAGGGGTGGCGGACACTGAGTGGAGGCCAGTGGAGGGATTGGCAGTGTCAGGAATGGATTCAGCACTGGTGGTGGGACTCTCCTGCCGTGTGGGCTGCAGTACCAGAGCTGACCAGCGGGTGCTCTCAGCACTGGTGGTGGGACTCTCCTGCCGTGTGGGCTGCAGTACCAGAGCTGACCAGCGGGTGCTCTCAGCACTGGTGGTGGGACTCTCCTGCCGTGTGGGCTGCAGTGCCAGAGCTGACCAGCGGGTGCTCTTAGCAGCCAGAAGCTCACAATCAGCCAAACCTGGGGCTGATTACAGAAAGGTGTATATAAGGCATGACCAGGCCTGTGCTCTGGGCCTTGGTGTATGGTTTCCCATGAGCCCCTGTATCCTGTTCCTAGTTCCTGTGAGAAGATACCTTGTTGCCGACCCTGCCTGATCCTGATTCCTGTTGACCGTCTCCTGTTCTGACTACTGGCTCATCCCTGACCATCCTTCTGCCTGATCCTCTGTACTGCGCTGTCCGTGAGTTACTGAACCCGGCTTGTGACCTTGACCATTCTCTGCCTGCTCCTTTGATACCTTGCTGCCCGTACGTTGCTGACTTGGCCCGTCTGACCACGCTCACTACTCTGCCATCCATCCATCCTGCACGGATCCAGCCGTACCTGCACATACCTCTGGCGGATCCCTCTATCACTAGCAGGTGTACTCAGGGGCCGCGACCTGGTTCCTGTCTGCTCCAAGTCCATCCCCACCATCAGGGGCCCTGGTGAATAGCAGACTGGGACTTAGACTCCGCGCCCTGGGGAATCCTGCCCTGAGGACCGCTAGAGGTACCACCAGGCAGTCGTTACAGAACCCTACGGCCGGCCTGACCATTCCACCTCTCCAGCCCTGACTACGCCTGTGTTCCTGCACCTCCTAAGATTAGTGGAAGGTTAGTTTGCTCACTGTGCGTTTATATATATATCTGGGTGGCTAATAATAACCTGTATTATACTATACCTGAAACCTGCGTTTCCCTGTGTCAGTCCACACCTTTCTGGTCACTCCTTGATTCCTGACAGGCAGAGAGGGGTGGAGGACACTGAGTGGAGGCCTGTGGAGGGATTGGCAGAGAGGGGTGGAGGACACTGAGTGGAAGCCAGTGGAAAGATTGGCAGAGAGGGGTGGAGGACACTGAGTGGAGGCCAGTGGAGGGATTGGCAGAGAGGGGTGGAGGACACTGAGTGGAGGCCTGTGGAGGGATTGGCAGAGAGGGGTGGAGGACACTGAGTGGAAGTCAGTGGAGGGATTGGCAGAGAGGGGTGGAGGACACTGAGTGGAAGCCAGAGGAGGGATTGGCAGAGAGGGGGTGGCAGACACTGAGTGGAGGCCAGTGGATGGATTGTCAGAGAGATGTGGAGGACACTGAGTGGAGGCCAGTGGAGGGATTGGCAGCGAGGGGTGGAGGACACTGAGTGGAGGCCAGTGAAGGGATTGGCAGAGAGGGGTGGAGGACACTGAATGAAGGTGAGTGGAGGGATTGGCAGCGAGGGGTGGAGGACACTGAGTGGAGGTCAGTGGAGGGATTGGCAGAGAGGGGTGGAGGACACTGAATGGAGGTCAGTGGAGGGATTGGCAGAGAGGGGTGGCTGATACAGAACCTCTGTGATCATTCACAGATTTCACACGCAGTAAGTAATGATGTCATAAGTGACATCTTGCTTACTGCTCTGCATGTGATCACTGTGATCACTGGCCAATCAGTGATCACATGATCGGGACCTCACACAGAGGTCCCGTCCAATGATCGGTGTTCACTGTGTCCGAGGACACAGCAGGCACCGGATTGCAGTGCTGCACGCTCCCAGGGAGTGCGCACAAGCAGGGTACGGGGAGGCCATTTATAAACGGCCACCCTCTCCTGCACTGCCACCGTCCGGCAGTTTATATACAACAGCCGGACGGGAAGTAGTTAATAGCAAAAAGTAAAAAACTTTCTGGTGTTCTTGGTGCTTCAGTGAGCATGCACGTTTCTATGAATCTATGTGATCAAGCCAGTGACTCCACTCATGCTCCCCCTCCACAACCGCACTCCTGATGTCATGATGACGAAATGTGTTGGACAGAGCTAATTGCACCACTTCTGGTTTTCTGTACTTCAGGACTCAGTGAGAGCAGCAGGAGCTGTGACGATCGCGGCGTCAGAGCCCCGCCCTTCTCACCAAACTCATGACCGAAGGACTAGCCAATCTAAAACCGCGCTGTCACATGCGTAACAATGCCACGCCCAGCTGCACCCTGCATACAGATTTTCCAGCTAATGGACCACAACCTGTGTACCTGCAGCCTGAGAGCGATTGTTACTGGGTCAGGTTAATTACGCAATTAACCCTTCACACTGCCACCACCTCCTTTTTGTACAGAGAAAGAGGAAACTCGGCAATATCAGCAATAACACTATGATGTTTGCATAATCGTCGGTATACCACTGTCACCGCAGGCATAGATATACCGAAGTTTAAAACACACACACAGTAGCGCTCTTCAGAGGCAGGGATTCTTAGTTTGCATTAAAGAGCTTTAGAAACAGTTCAACACTTTCAGAAAGTAAGATTTATTACTAAAAGGTCAAAAGGGTGCAATAAAAATAATTACAGAAAAAGATGTAGCCAATATATATATACATATACAGCACACAATAGCACAGCAAAGAGATAAGAGAGAGAAATTTAGAAAGCTAAAGTACTTGCCAAACGTCCTGGTTTAAGCAGATCAGGTTTTAGAGCCAAAAGGATGCTTTTATCTCCGAAAGTTAGTTCCGTTGTTAAAAGGGAGAATTCTTCAACTTCCCTTAACTCAGCTTAGCTCAGCTTTTTCTAGGAACTCAGCAGGGTGTCTCCCTGAAGCAGAGAACCAATCGCCACATACGGGCAGGTGTTGCAGGCGGAGACCCAAGCTATGACCAAAAACCCTCACACTTGATGTCATGGTTCATAAGTTATTCTCGGTGCATTTAGCAGGCTTGCCACTAGTAGATTAATATGCAGACGCATCTGCTGAACGGTTAGATATGAAATATGACATACCTGCTTGGATGGTTAAGGAGATATAATTTTCTGCTCTCTTATATATGCCAGGTAGGGGATGAAATATATCAGGCAACTTGTATCAAAGTGAATATGTGCTCCATGTTTATGTAATTATGTCCTATTTGAAGAAATAAAATTATATGGAAAAGTGAGTTTTTAAATGTAAGTCTGTTTTTACGGCTACCTGGAATGTCTTTGAAACTGAATGAGGGTTTGGTTTATGGCTTTACAATCCCTTCTCCAGCAAGGGTCTCGCAGACATAGGGGCACCACTTATTGGGGTTTATAGGCATGAAGCCCTCCCAGTGAGTTTGCTGCCTGTGATCTCGGTCATCATCCAGACCACATGTCACTCAACAGAGAGGGAGGGGGGATGAGAAAAAAAGCTGATTTGGGAGTAGTAGAAATGATACAAGATGGAAGATCCTTTGCCATCTCTGTGTGCACGTTTGCTACAGGAGCCACTGTCAATCACATCCTGGGAGCAGGGGGAGGGGGACCAAGCCCGACTTGCTCCAAAGTCGGGCACACAGCCCGACTTTGGAGCAAGCCTGCAGGTGCACCCTAATAGGAAGCAGCATCCTATAGTGGAGCGATGAGAATAGGAGGAGCCTAGAGCACCACCAGGGGGACCCCAGAGGAGGAGGTTTGGGGCTGTTCTGTGCAATGGTATAACCTGTCTTATTTTAGGGGAAAAAAAAAAAAAAAAAAAAAGCTTTAAACCACTTTAAAGAGAATCTGTTACCAAAAATGAATCTCATAATGAAAAAAAAAAAAAAAAGTGTAAAAATTTAAAATGTAAGTTCACTTACCACTGGTGCCCCTCCCCACCACCCTGGTCCCCGCTGTACTTACCTCCTGAGCTGTCAGGGCTTCCACAGCCCGTCCACTGAAATCCCAGCTGCTTTCTCTCATCTCTGTCCAGCACTGCAAGGACAGACCAGATGGACTCTGATTGGGCAGCACTGAGACGGGGGGGGGGGGGGGGGGGGCCTGGTTAGTCAGAACCATCCATGAGACAAGGGATCTGGTCAGTGGTGTATTAGGTTTTGTGCTGCCCTAGGCAACACAGATTTTTACCCCCTTCACGACCATGGAATTTTTTGCTACTCCGTACTGCACTACTTTAATTGGCAATTGCGCGGTGATGCAACACGTACCCAAACAAAATTTATATCAATTTATTTACACAAAAAGCTTTCTTTTGGTGGTATTTGATCTCCACTGGAATTTTTATTGCTTTTTTTGTTACAAAAAAAAGGCTGAAAATTTAGAAAAAAAAACTATTTCCTGACAGACTCCATAGCAGCATATGTATGGGTTTAGCCCTGCCCTCTTCAATCCTTTAGGACTGAGAAATCTTCTCAGAGCCAGAGGCCATGTTCCATTAAATCTGCCTTCTAGTGGCTGTCACATTGGTGAAAAAAGTCTCCGAAATCGGAAACCTGGGGTGTAAAGAACTGTTCTTAACATTCTTCCCAGATCGAGTGGTTCTCATACCTATGTTTGTCTCAAATCCCAAGGCAATATCAGTCTTCCACGAGAACCAGGAGATTGTTCTTCCAACATTTAGGTTCTCTGAGTTCCAACATACACCCACTGGTCGTGGGGGAAACTCTAAAACTGTATCTGCAAGCCACAGCTTCCTTCCTTCCGACAGTCTGACCGTCTTTTTCATGGGAAGGATAAGGGAGATTATGCTTCATCCAGACCAATTGCAGCATGGACTGTCCAGGCCATAAAGATGGCCTACAGAGCTAAGGCCTGCTTGGCACCTACGGAGGCGGACACGGGCAGACAATACAGGAGGGATGTCAGGGACAAAGCCGGGGGCGGAAAAACTCGGTACATGGCCAAATAATACAGGAGGGATGTCAGGGACAAAGCTGGGGTCGGTACACAGATATACTAACGGATGCTCAGTAGAACACAGGGGAGCTCCAACAACAAACGTTGCTCAGGTAATGTGGCCCAGTCTGAGCACATCTTAAACAGACAGGCAGACAAGGAGGTTGGACAGGAAGTGATGGAAGGGAAGGACATAAAACCCAGGGAATAGCAGATGACGCCCATAGGTGAGCACAGAACACCACATGTGAAGGAATCAAGAGCAGCATCGAGGTAAGTGTAAACACACCAGAGGCTGCAAACTAACTTGTGACAGTACCCCCCCTCTTATGAGGTCTCCCCACTTTTTTATGGATACTTTTGGTAGAGAGCCAAACCTTGTCACCTGGGAAATATTTGGGACTCACCTGGTAATGACAATCTGCAGCTACTTTGTACTTAGAAGCTGACAGATGTAAGCTCTTGGAAACATTTGCCTCAGAAGAAGTAAGAATAGGAGAACATACAACTGGACCAAGCCAGTGCTTCACCTGAAAGGAGGGAGATCATGTATGCCACCTTGGAACGATCAGTAGGGAAATGATCAGCTGCTAATTCAAAATGAATCGAGCACTGACTGATGAAGCTTCTACAGGCCTTAGGATCACCAGAGAAGTGAGGCGGTGTAGGCAGCTGGAGTCTCGAAGGACCGTGTTCCACTGGGGGAACAGCGGGAACCAGAGCAGAGGGTGAGGAAGTGGACGCAACCTGTAGCTGATCCAACCGGGAGGAGAGTTTCTGCAGACAGCACATGATTTGTTCTTGGAAGACCTGTTGAATCTCAACTCTCAGCACCAAAGCCTGAAGTTGTTCCAGGACAGGCTGCGGGGTCTCCAAAGAGCTCATGGCCTGAGCAAACTGTCACGTCTATGGTAGTGAGCTCTATAAAACCACAGCTTGGGGTTCCCCAGGGTGTGGAATCTAAGCCCCAGCCCGCTTGTTCACCAGGGCCCCTGATGGTGGGGATGGACTTGAAGCAAGCTGGAACCAGCTCACGGCCCCCAGGTACATCCAGCTGAGGTAGAGGAGACAGCTAGAGGGAACAGTGTACACCAAGAGTAGACACAGGAGATCCAGTTGGAAAGCCGAGGTCAGGACAGGCAGAACACTAGCAATGTCAGGAACGAAGCCGGGGTCAGTACACTGGCAGACAATACAGGAGGGATGTCAGGGATGAAGCCAGGCTCAGTACACAGATATACTAACGGATACTCAGTAGAACACAGGGGAGCTCCAACAACAAACATTGCTCAGGCAATGTGGCCCTGTCTGAGCACATCTTAAATAGGCAGGCAGACAAGGAGGTGGGACAGGAAGTGATGGAAGGGAAGAACATAAAACCCAGGGAATAGCAGACGACACCTATAGGTGAGCACAGAACACACATGTGAAGGAATCCAGAGCAGTATGGAGGTAAGTGTAAACACACCAGAGGCTGCAAGCTAACGTGTGACACGTATGCTGCCATGGAATCTATCAGGAAAACATAACATTTCTTATTGAGTACTTACCGTAATTTCCCATTCCTGATGGACTCCACTGTAGCAGTAGTACCCTCCCAATGTCATCAGTAGGCTAGTCATGGAACTAGGGATGGAATGTGGGCCAAACCCATACGTATGCTGCCATGGAGTCCATCAGGAAAAGAAAATGACTAAGTATTTAATAGAAAATTAAATTTTTTT